GGCCATGCTGGCCTTGTGTCGAGAGCAGCGTCTGGAGCACAGAACGAAGCACATTGCTCTTCGCTACTTCCTTGCTTGTGAGCTATAGCAGCGTGGACAGTTGCGGCTTGCGTACGTGGCCTCTGAGGCCAACACTGCTGATGTGTTCACCAAGGCACTCGCGCCTTGTGACCATCAGCGCTTCTGCATCCAGCTGGGTCTTGTGCCTGTCTTGCCTCACTTGCTCTCCTCTTGACTTTACTTGTACTGTCACATATATATACCTGCTCTTGCTTGTCTAGCTTTATATATATATATGTGTGTACTCCTGCATGTGAACTGGCCTTGTGGCCTTGCTCTTGTGCTGGGACTGTGTGGTGACTTTGTGATCCACCCTGAGCTTTGCTTTGCTTTGCTTGACTGGTCTTGTGACCCCTTGTTCTCCCCCACTTTGCCTATGGGGGTGTGTCAGAACATATATGTAGCTTATGCTGTTGTGTAGGCTACAGTGGGGTATACCATAGGGGGTACAACCCAATTAGGGTTTTGCTATTTGTACTCACTTCAGTCATAGTTCATCCATTCTCGTTCTATTTTCCACAACAGTTCAGTTCATCCTATCACCCCAAAACCGACGGACAGACAGAACGGACAAATCAGACCATGGAGCAGCTGATTCGAGCCACGTGCGACGATCCGAATACGTGGGAACAGCAGCTGCCACTCATCGAGTTCGCATACAATAACGCACCATCAGCCACGACGCAACAGTCGCCGTTTTACTTGAATTACGGACAAGACCCAACAGTACCCATGACACCGAATCCCGACAACCCCGTCCCACGAGCACAACAGTTCGCCGAGATTCTGCAAGCAGCACGGACCAGGGCAGCAGAAGCAATCAAAAAATCAAACATCATCGCTAAACGCAACGCCGATCGCCATCGCAGACCCATTACTTATCAGCCCGACGACCTTGTTTTACTCGACACTCAGAACCTCCGCCTGCCCATCACTCCAAAACTCCGCCCTCGATACTGTGGGCCATTTCGAATCAGTCACATGGTTACGCCAGTCATCGCGCACCTCCTCCTCCCTGCTGACTGGTACGTCAGCCCCTCGTTCCACGTCAGCTTACTTCGCCCTTACGTGCCATCTACCAGCCAACTCCCACGGCATCGACCCACCAGCATGACACGACCACCAACCGAACCAGTCATCACCCCCGACAAGATCCTGAGCCACAGAGTTCGCGACCCTCGAGGAGCCCGAAAAGTGGAGTTTCTGATCCGCTGGAAAGATCGTACCCCCACCGAGGACAATTGGGTCCCCCTGGAGAAAGTTGAAAATCACCCCGTCGTCACCGACTACTTGCGTAGCCGCAATTTCCGAGACATCCACGCGCTTTCATAAGGAGGACCTCCTTAGGAGGGGGGGTAGTGTAAGGAAATTCCTTTTTCCTTACTTCGCGTCCCTGCTCAACGCGTACATCACTGTAGCACCTCAGTCAGCACCGTTACCACTCGCGACTATCGCATCATTCATCATCCCGCCCTTTTCGCACATCGCATCCCGACCTCACGGCTCGGCTGGTAACCCGCGCTCCGGGCCTACGCTTCGACACTTTCCCAACCTCAGTCCCAGGCTCGTCGCGCGACCATTACCGTTACCATTATAGTTTCGCTATATAATGTTCGCTCATGCCTTCGCTCATTTGTATTCTTGCTTCGATAGTGCAATTCTCGTTTGTTCACTCAATTGCACCCGTAACATGTATTATTTTATGATTCCATTGCTGTATTTTTCATAAGTCGTTTATAAGATTAAGTGAACAACTATGTTTTATATCTTCAATAATATATTTTGTAACACTAAACTATCCGGTTCTTGCTCTAGCAAAAGTGTGGTTCAGGGCCTCAGATATCAAGAAAAAAACCCTGAAATTCCTGATTTTGGCAGCCCTTTTTTTACCTACACTGAAAAATCAGCGTTGAGATTTTTGTGGGACTGATCTTTCAGCCTTTTTTGTTAGGCTACACTGAAATTTCAGACTTTCGTTTCCCAAGTACACTGATTCTACGGCGTTGTAACGAAACTAACACTGAAAGCAATTCTTACTTGTTCCGTGTGCATTTGCCCGCAAAACAGGGAATCTCATATTCCTGCAGTGCCAGCACTTCATTGGGCAGTAACGCTGTAGCATGAAGTGATAGCTAATCAGGATGTGGCAACCATGTTGTGCTGGAGGGCTGCGAGGGTTCCTGCACCAGCAAGCACTGATGCTCCCATTCCCTCCAACCCAATCTCTTGTTTCTTTTCCTCCTGTTTCTCTCCCTCTCCCTCTCAGCCCGATTCCTCTCTTGCTTTCTCGTCTGCACTAATTCATGGCGCCATCAGCACCAGAAAGGGCGGGCTGTCGGGAATCGAAGCCATCGCAAGCGCCGCCGAATCTCCTCTTGTCTCACCGAACACATCGCTCTCGTTCGACGCAATCCGCAGTGCATTCTGCTAGATGGTCGTAGACCACGTGGCAATTCCCGTCGGCGTCGCAGGCCCGCTACGACTCGACGACGCGTAGTTTTTCGTGCTAATGGCGGCAACCGAAGGCTGCCTCGTCGCCAGCACGAACCGCGGTTGAAAAGGCCATCTGCACCGCGTGCGGTGCGCAGATCGTCGTGCTGCGCGACGACATGATCTGCGCATGACCCGCGCGCCCGCCGTCCATTCCTCTGCTCCCTTTGCCCCGCACTCCGTGCACTCCATCTCTCCCCCAGTCGTCTCCCCCCCAACTGTGCCAATCTTCCCCCCTCTCTCCCTCCTGTTCTCTCTTTCCCTGCCTCACCCTGCCTGTCAATCCGGTTCCTCCTCCACACCCTGCCCCTGCAGCTTCAACGTGTATGTGTGTGCTGCGGCAGAGCACTGTCACGTACTGGTGTCCCAAGCTGAGGAGAGGAGAGAAGCCAAAGGCAGTGATGATAACACGGCTGCTACTGACTTAGTATTTGAAGTAGAGGTTTCTAGTAATTAACAACCTTTTATATTTTTGAACACTGATACATCAGCCTTTTTTCAAAGGGAACCCTGATATTTCAGGTTTTTTTTTTTAGAAACACTGTCAATCAGGGTTTATACACAAGGGTACCCTGATGGGTCGACGACCCTAAAAGTGAATCTGAGGCCCTGGTGTGGTTCAAATTGAGCTGAATCACTCATCGGAATTCGGGGTGACGCACCCGTTTTGCCTGGGATGACGCAGGGGGGTGACGGTCGACTGAGCGTCAGGGCGGCCAACTTCCTCGCGTGAGTCTCCCGCCAGGTTGGCGAAACCTAAACCCTAAACCCTAAACCCTAAACCCTACTCCCCAGCCCCCCACCCCGAATTCCTACAGAACCCCACGTTGCAGCCGAGGGGTGGCGAACTCGCGCGCGAGCGACGAGGGGCCTAGTAACCCCTTCACGGAGGCGGACATTCGCTTCGCTTCACGGAGGCCCTAGTAACCCTCTCAGGCTGCCCTCGCCGGGCAGGCGGGTTGGATGCGAAATTCAAAGGGCCCGACCCCACCCTCGTCAACATCGCTGGCCCCTCGGGAGGGGAGAATGGTACGGTAACATAATGCAATACAACGCACCATCATTCTCTGCTGTTCGTACTGCATAGCAATCTTCAGAGCTGAAACGAGTGCAGTGCAGCAGAGCATGCTTATTGCAGTAACGATGATTCAAGTATTGAAGCACCTGACATCGCAATGGCGCCCATAGTCTGGTGCATGTAGAGCGACAGAATTGTCGAGCTTCAAGACCTCCCAAAAGTTTTTGAGAGGTCCCAAAACTGTCGACGAACCCACTGATTTGGTTCATGTGCAGAAGCAGGGTAACCCAGGAGAAAAAACCTCATGCAAGGTTCCGCCTGATATCAGGAAGAATGCTCCTCTCACATGCCGTTGCTGCTTCAGCTCCGAATGCATGCTGTTTCTGCTCCAATGGAGGGCGGCAGTTGCACCATTATTGGGAAATCGTGATGGATATAGTGGCAGCTGCATACACAGTGGGTCCCTTGGAAGCTGTGAAGTGTTTATCTCAACTGAGGATGAGTTAGGCCCCCAAAACGGATGGGCTGCAGGGTCGCGTAAAGAAACTACATAGGAAAGTGGTATATTGCACTGTAGCTTGTCAGGAATTATACGTCAACACACAGTACTGCTCCTTTTCAGAGAGTGTACCCGTGAACTGTGTCGAATGGGAGAGGATGGATGGGGACAGGAAGCTGCGAAAGGTGCTGGGGGAAAATGAAGAGATCCGAAGCACAAGTTTGAGACGTCTCCAAAGCACACGTATGGGGAAGCTGAGGCAAAATTAACTTTGGGAGAGGAGAACGTGAGGGCATGGGTCCAAAAGACCATCCGGAAATGGCTGGTCTGTTGCCTTGCGAGTGGAAAGCTGGGCCTATAGGAGAAGATACACAGGAGCTGTTGTCTTGCCTCTTCGATTGGACATGAAATATTTGCTGCCGAGTCAGTCTTTTCTGAGCTTTTTTCCAGGTTCCAGTAGGTGATCTCTGGGTTGACAATCGCTTGCGATTTTGATGCTGATGCCGACATTGGTGTCGAAGCTGGTGCCGATGCTGATGCCATTGCTGGTGCCGTTGCTGATGCCATTGCTGGTGCCGATGCTGGTGCCGATGCTGGTGCCGATGCTGGTGCCGATGCTGATGCTGATGCCGATGCTGTGTGAGTGAGTGGTCAGTTGAGGTAGCCTCGGCACCTGGAGGAAAGAAAGGAGAGGGCAGCACGAGGTCGTGGAGAATTCTTTTGAGTGAACTAAGCAAGAAGTAGGCTCAAACATCAGGAGGAAAGGAAAGAAAAGGTGGGGAAGCGGGAGAGGCATGCATGTGGGGATGCCGTGGCAGAGCTAGTGTTGCAAGAAGGTGGATGCGAAGGGGGACTTTCTTTCAAAGATCTCAGAACCCCCCTTCCCCCTCCCCCCCGCGTGGGAGCAGCGTTGAGCAGCAAACCACAGGGCACTCACTTACTTGACAAGCAGAGGCAGGGGATCTTGGCGTCGTCCTCAATAGGGAACTTGTAGTCGTAGCTGAGCTCCTCCCCAGCTTGGATGACAGCAGAGCAACTATCGGCATTGACTAGAAGCAGAACTAGCTTTGTGAATCAGGGCACTCACTTCCTAGACAAGCAGAGGCAGGGGATCTTGGCGTCGTCCTCAATAGGGAACTTGTAGTCGTAGCTGAGCTCCTCCCCCACTTGGATGACCAATGGTGCATGCGCACGGACCAGGCACGTGGTTCAAGGACAAACCACCAGCGAACTCACTTTCTGGAGAGGCAGAGGCAGGGGATCTTGGCATCGTCCTCAATGGGGAACTTGTAGTCGTATCTGAGCTCCTCCCCCGCTTGAATCACCCTCTTGGAGCACGCTTGATACCAGCACGAACAAGACGCGGAACCAGTCATGCACGAGGGGAGACTCACTTTCTAGACAGGCAAAGGCAGGGAATCTTAGCGTCGTCCTCAGTGGGGAACTTGTAGTGGTAGCTGAGCTCCTCACCCGCTTGGATGACGGGGAAGGGCAAGGACGACGACTAAAACAGGCACGTGGGAGCAACGCTGAGGGCCAAACCACAGGGCACTCACTTTCTGGAGAGGCAGAGGCAGGGGATCTTGGCGTCGTCCTCAATAGGGAACTTGTAGTCGTAGCTGAGCTCCTCCCCCGCTTGGATCACCCGCTTGGAGTAGATCACCACGTGCTTCTGCCCGTCCGCTACTATCACCTTGGTGTAACAGTTGGGCTGGAAGGGAGGGGTGGAGGGAAGAGAGGGAGTGGGGACGAGGAAGGGTGAAAGGGGGGACGAGGAAAATTGAAAGGGTGAGAGGCATGGTACGGAGGGTTGGATCACCCTCTTGGAGTAGATCACCACATGCGTCTGCCCGTCCGCTACTATCACCTTGGTGTAACAGTTGGGCTGCGCGGGGGGGGCAAAGGGAGGCGGGGCGAAGGAGGGTGAAAGGCGTGAGGGGCATAGTAAGGAGGAATGCATGGTAAGAACAGCTCTCTTGGAGTAGATCATCACGCGCTTCTGCCCGTCCGCTACTATCACCTTGGTGTAACAGTTGGGCTGGAGGCGTGTGGTGAAGGGAGAGGGAGGGGTTGCATGGGCATGGGAAGTTGAGGGGGGTGAAAGGAGTGAGGGTCATGGCAGGGAGGAAGGGACACCTCTCTTGGAGTATATCACCACGTGCTTCTGCCCGTCCGCTACTATCACCTTGGTGTAACAGTTGGGCTGAAAAAGGGGGAAGAGGGGGATAGGGGAAAGGAGACAGATTGTGTGGGAAGTTGGAAGAATGGGGGCACATTAAGCCTCTATCACCAATTGTGAAGCAGGTTCATGTACACAACTTAGCTTTTTTTTTTTTCACAAACACCCTTCTCATTCATGTCCGTTGTACTAGTTCTTTGATAGTTTCACTGAAATAAATTACAAGACATTTATGAGAATTCTCTTCTGAGAACTTTTGAGGTGCTAAGAAAAATACACTCACATCACACGAGTGGTTGATGAATCTAGCAAGGCCACCGCTGCGGGTGGCATCCACCTGAGCAAGCACAGAAAAGGGAGCGCGATGGAGAGGCAGAATCAGAGAATCATGCGCAATTCCATGTGCCTTTACACTTGACGGGTGAGAGGGGTTGGAAGGATTTGCCTAGCAGCTTTTGAGGTAACTCTTTAAACTGCTTAATAATAAGCAGGGAGTATGCTTACAAGCAGTCTAAAAAAAACACATTACCATGCCAAATCCATCAAACTACTGATCCAACAAAACAACAAAAAGTGTTACCTCTCCACCACTCACCACCACATCCCACACCACCCCCACCACTCACCACCACGTCCTCATCCACGCGAAACAGATAGCTGCTGCCAATGCCATCTGCCTCATACATCCTCTCTCGTAGCTCCGACACCTGATGGGTGTGGCAAGGGTGTGAGTGGGAAGAGAGTTGGTGGTTGCATGGTCGCAGGGTAGGGTAGCTGCTGCTGCTGCTGCCAATGCCATCTGCTTCGTACATCCTCACCAACCTTTCCAACCATCCAAACGTTTCAGCACGTGACGAGTCGATTTTTGAGTCGACTAAAAAATCGACTCAGCACTCACCCATCGCCGAATAGTTATTCCCGTATACTTGATGATGGAGTCCCCCGCTTCAATTCTCTCCAGAGACAGCATCCCCCACCCGTGTATCCAACTCTTTCCAACCATCAAAACGTTTCAGCACTCACCGATCGCCGGATGATGGTGCCGGTAGACTCGATAATGAAATCCCCTGCTTCAATCCGCTCCAGAGACAGAATCCTCCACCCATGTCTTTGGCTCCGCACCAACCTTTCCAAGCATTCAAACTTTTCAGCATGCATCCCAACCTTTCTCCATGCATCCCAACCTTTCCCCATGCATCCCAGAGCACTCACCGATCGCCGGATGATAGTCCCCGCATATTCAATGATAAAGTCCCCTGCTTCAATGCGCTCCAGAGACAGCAGCCCTCACCCGTGTATCCGGCTCCTCCTCACTAACTTCAACCTCACTAACTTCAACCTCACTAACTTCAACCTCACTAACTTCAACCTCACTAACTTCAACCTCACTAACTTCAACCTCACTAACTTCAACCTCACTAACTTCAACCTCACTAACTTCAACCTCACTAACTTCAACCTCACTAACTTCAACCTCACTAACTTCAACCTCACTAACTTCAACCTCACTAACTTCAACCTCACTAACTTCAACCTCACTAACTTCAACCTCACTAACTTCAACCTCACTAACTTCAACCTCACTAACTTCAACCTCACTAACTTCAACCTCCTAACTTCAACCTCACTACTTCAACCTCACTAACTTCAACCTCACTAACTTCAACCTCACTAACTTCAACCTCACTAACTTCAACCTCACTAACTTCAACCTCACTAACTTCAACCTCACTAACTTCAACCTCACTAACTTCAACCTCACTAACTTCAACCTCTTCAAAACGATTCAGCAACACTCACTGATCACCCCACTGCACTCACCGATCGGCGGATGATGGTGCCGGTATACTCGATGATGAAGTCCCCTGCTTCGATGCGCTCCAGGGACAGCAGCCCCCACCCGTGTATCCGGCTCCTCACCAGCTTCCGATTCTTCCAAGCGTATCAGCAGCACTTGCCTAGCCTTTGCCTACCCTCCAAGTGCACTCACCGATCGACGGATGATGGTGCCGGTATACTCGATGATAAAGTCCCCCGCTTCGATCCGCTCCAGGGACAGCAGCCCCCATCCGTGTATCCGACTCCGCACCAGCTTCAGGTTCTTCTTCCTCCCCTTCAGCTGCTTGAACCTCACCCCTTCCAACCCCTCTGAACCCACCGCTAGCTGCCTCAGCAGCGCCCTGCTGCTCCGGGCACTGCCGATCAGAGTAAGAGAACCAATCCCCATGCTAGTGCCTGCGCCTATCCCCTCCCATGCTTCCTCCCCTGCTGCTGCTCCTCCTCCTCCTAGCAACCTCACTCCACCACCCCCACCAGAGGCAAACAGAGGGAGGCGGGAAGAGGAACCCGGGAGGTTGGCTTGGGAGAGATTAGCCCGGGAGAGCAGGCGGGGAGTGCGCATGGAAGCCCCTGCGCCCGGCCCTGTGCCCTCTGCGTCCCATTCTCCCGCGCCCTCGCCTCTATCCCCTTTATAGTACGCCTCGGCGCGCTGCTTTAGTGCCTCTCTCTGCGCTGCTTGCTTCACGTGCTCTCTCCACTCCCATCCGCCCCACTCCACGCGCGCACATGTCGACCTCTCCCTCTGCTTCCTCTCCCTTTCCTTCTTCTCCTTCTCTTTCTTCTCCCTCTTCTCCCTCTTCTCCCTCTTCTCCCTCTTCTCCTGCTCCCTCCGCTCCTTCCTCTCCTGCCTCTCCTCCCAGCCCCCCTCATCCAGCTTCTGTTTCTTCCGCATTTTCCTCCTCTCCTCCTCTTCCTCTTCGTCCTCCATTCCCCAATGCATCCCCGCACCCTCCCCATGACCATCACTGAGCGCAGAAACCCTCCCCTCCAGCTCTCTCTCAAAACCATCTCCTTCCTCTCTCTTCACATCACCCTCATCCCTCATCGCATAATCTTCCTCCTCCTGCTCCGCCTCTTCCTCCTCCCTCTCCACCTCATCCTCCTCCTCCCCACTCCCGTGACCCAGCAGCCCACCCGATTGCTCCTCCGCCTGCCTGGTAGCCAGAATAAGCTGCCTCTCTGTCCTCGCTCCACCTGAATGTACACCAGCAGACTTTTTCTTTCTCCTCGCTGCAGCTGCATGTGGGACCGGAACCAATTCAGACGACTTCGACTTTCTGGACGCAGCAGCAGAAGCAGAAGCATCAGCACCTGCTGAACCATGTATTGAACCAGCTGAAGTTTTCTGCAGGTATCGCATAAGCTGCCGCTCTGTGCCAATGGGAACACGCCAGCTGGCATCACCCTTCACCTTGTCCCTTTCCTCGCTCCCACTGCCATCAGCCTCTTCTCCATCACCCGTCCTTCTTTTCTTCTTCTTCCTCTTCCATTTTCCCCTCCTGCCCCTACTCTCTACTCTTGAATCACTATCCCTCCCCTCACCCTGCTCCCTCTCCTGTGTCTCGCTCTCCTCTCTCTTACCCTCCCAATCGCCCTCCCTTGCACCAGACACACCTTCACCAGGTTCCCTTTCCTCTCCCCTTCCTTCGCTCTCCTCCGCTCCCATCCACTCATCGGATGACCATTCTGCAAACCGCCTACTACTCTTGCTTCGCTTCTTCTCCTTCCTCCTGTGCTTGCCCTTCTCCTCACCCCTCTCCCTCGCTCTCCTCTTCTCCTTCTCCCTCTCTCGCTCCCTCTCCCTCTCCACCTCCCTCTGTGTCTCTCTCATCTTCCTCCTCACCCACTCCTCGCGCCACTCGTCCTTCCTCTGTGCTACAGCGCCTGACTGATGCTCTCCTGTGTGTGCTGTTGGCTGTTGCCCCCACTTCTCCTTCCGCTCGCCTCTCTCCTCCTCCTTGCCCCTCTCTACAATCACACCCCTCTCTGCACCCGAATTGTGCCTATACACACTCTGATCCATGTGATAATAAGAAGGGCCCCATCTGCCCATGCCCCCTCCCTCCACTCCTCCTTTCCGCCTCTCCTCACTTCTCTCCTCACCTCTCTCCTCTCCTCTCTCCTCTCTCTTCTCCCTCCCTTTCCCATCCCCTTCCCTCTCACCTTCCTCTCCGAAAATCTCCGCCTTGATTCTCTCCTGCCCGTAACCTGCCTCTTGTCCCGCCTTCCCCTGCATCCCCAACCCTACCCCACCGCTTCGCATCGCAGTAAACTCCGCCTGCAACCGCTGCTCAAAAGCAGCCATAAAAGCGCTCTTCCCATCACCCCGCACCTTCACCAGAGCAGCCCCTGCCGTTCTCTCACGAGGCGCCTCAAAGCTCTTCCCATCACCCTGCACCTTCACCAGAGCAGCCCCTGCCGTTCTCGCCCCACACTCACCAACATGACTTACCCCTACCACCCCACCACCCCTAGCCACGACATTCTCACTTGTGTTTTTAGCACCCATCTCCCTGCTTCCGCTGGCCCTTCCGCTTGACCCCACACCCCAGTCCAGATAACTGCCTTTATACCCTCCCAACTTCCTCGCTTTAGCGTCCGGCCCCTCTCGAGAACTTTTCTCTCTTAACAAAGTGTCAGCGGTTTTCAACTCGAAACCCTTCTCACACGCCTCCTCCTCCTCCTTTTTCTCCCCCTCCACTTCCTCCCCTTTCTTCCCTCCCACTCCCTCCCTCTCCTTTCCTCCCACCTCCTCCTTTCGCTGCCCTCCCTCCTCCCTCGTCTGTCCTCTCACCTCTCTACCTCCAACACTTGCCTTTTGCTCCTCCCCATCATCCTCTTCTTTCTCCTCTTCTTCCTCTTCCTCCACTTCCTCCTCTTTCCTACCCTCCTTCTCCCCCCATTCCTTCTCAACCTTCCCTAAAAGACTCCTCCTTCGCTCCTTCTCCACTTCCCTTCCACTCCCAAGGCCTTCAAGCAACACATCTCTACCCTTCACTTCCCTCACTCCAGCTACACCGCGTGACCCTTTCTCCCTCCCTCCTGCCCTTTCTCTCCACCCCAATGGTACAGTAGCCGCAGCACCCTTTGCCCCATCACTGGAATCCACATCCACGCTTTGCCTAGCTGCGTTCTTGCCGGATGCAACAGCTCGCTTCTGGAAATGCGTCTGAGGCGCAAGTTCTTTCAGGCGCAAAGGCCTTTGCGTCCCCTCAGCCTCAGGCTCAGGCTCAGGCTCAGGCTCAGGCTCAGGCTCAGGCTCAGGCTCAGCTGCAGCACCATCCAGCTGAGCTGCGCCTTGCGCCACTTGGCCTCGTTTCGTTTCGTTTGCACGATCCATCACACCATGGGATTCTTTCTCCCCTTGTCTCAGCTTCAGTTCGTCCTGCTGACTCCCCGAACGCAGCTTAGGTTCGGGAAGCTGGGCCGGAGCCTGCACAGACTGCCGAGCCGCGTGCCGAATCTCCGACCGAGCCTCATGCCGAGGCTCGGAATCCAGCCCTTCTGCTGCCAAAGCTGCAGCTTCGGTTTGAAGCGCGGAGCGGAAAGAGAGGCGGTGAGCTGTGTTCGTCCATGAGACCAGGCGGATCGAAGGGGTGAAGGAGGGGGAGGAGTGCCGGAGAATGGATGTGGAACGTGGGAGGTGCGATGGAGGGAGAGGAAGAGGGGGGCGTGCTTGTGGGAGGTGCGATAGAGCGAGAGGGGGCTGTTGTGAGTGAGCGGAAGGAGGGCGGTTGAGAGACAACGAGACCTCCTTCCACTGGCCACTGCTTAGTGCCTGCGAGGAAGGGGGAAGGAAAAGAGGCACTGAGAGAGCTATGGAGGGAGGTGAGGAGAGAGGGTCCTGTGGCTGAGAGGCAACGGCACTTCCCTCCACTGGCCACTGCTTAGTGCCTGCAAGGGGTGGGGGTTTAGTTTTTTCATGGTGGAGGTAGGAAGCGCGGCAAGGAGAGAATCAACCTGCTAATCCTAAAAAACCAGCTAGTAAGAGATAACAGGCTGGGACTCACTCACTCACCCTCAGCATAAATCGGCCCAGTAGCAGCTCCTCCTTCTCCTGCCCTTCGCTCTCCTCCATCCACTCCTCCCCACCCTCCTCCTCTGATACCCATCTTGTCATCCCCCTCCCGCCCTCCCTCTCCACATCCTCCTCTTCCCCTTCTCTCCCTTCCTCCTCTTCACTCTCCTCCCCTTCCTCCTCTTCTTCCTCCTCCTCCTCGCTTTCCTCTTCCTCTCCCTCATCCTCCTCTTCTTCCTCTTCCTCCGCCTCTTCCTCCTCCTCTCCGTCTCCGTCCCCCCCCTCCTCCTCCTCTTCTTCCTCCCCTTTCCTCCGCACCACCACCCCGCCACCACGACTGCTGCCACTTAACAGCACCAACTTCTGACACGTCTGAATAGCGTCTCTTGGTTTGCCAACACTCTGACACGTTTGAAAAGCTTCTCTTGGTTTGCCAACACTGCTACTTTGCGGCGCCACCTTCTGAGATGTCTCAAAAGCTGCTCTCGGTTTGCTGCTGCTACTAAACAACGTCTGGAGGGCTGACAGGGGCGGGGGAGTATCATCAACCGCCATCCCCTTGGCCTTCCTATTCCCATCTGCACTCCTCGTCCCGCTTGCACCCCTCTCACCCACACCCTTTTCGCCTGCACTTCTCCCAACCGCACCTCTGTCACCCTCCCTTTCTTCATCCCCACTCAACCCATCCCCACTACCATCCTCCCTCCCCCCATCCCCAGTCAATCCTTGGCTGCCCCCATCCCTATCCCTCACAGCAACGCCACCATGCAAATCCGTGATAATCTGCCCATTTCTGCGACCGGGAGAGGAGCCCTTTTGGTTCCCATCATTACTGGCTTGCCGGTTTGATTCCGTTAAGTCCACATCTGTGCCTCGACTTGCCAACTCCCCAACCTTATTGTGATACGTTGGGGAGAGGTCATGTCTTAGGGAGGGGCCGTGTTTTGGAGAGAGGCTGTGTCTTGAAGGGGACTGCCCCGTGTTTGTCTCACGTGCGCTGGAGCCCCTGGAGGCTTTAAGCGCAGCCGGCGATGTCACCCCTGCGTCATCACCACCAATGTCGTCGCTCGCAGTGCTGTCAGCATGTAAGTCCTCAGGAGTTACATCACTGCCAGGGGCATCAGCGTCAGCAGCAGCATCAGCAGCAGCGTCAGCAGTAGCAGCATCAGCGGCGGCAGCAGCAGTGGCGGCAGCGACATCACCAGCGGCAGCAGCAGCAGCAGCAGCAGCAACAGCATTCGCACTAGCAGAAGCAGGCGCATCAGGAGTCACGTCCCTGTTAGCAGCATCAGTAGAAGCAACATCACATTCATAGGCAGCAGGTGCATCAGCATCAGCGGTAACAGCAGCAGCAGTAGCAGCAGCAGTATCAGCATCAGCATCCCCATCAGTAGCATCAAAATCACTTTGACTACCCCCAATTGACCAGGGATCCTGTCCCCCTTCCTTTTCCTCCTCTTTTTCCTCCGCCTTTTGCGCCCTTTTCTCCTCACCATGTCCCTTTCGCCCTTCCACTCCTCCTCCCATCTCAAAGCCGCCTCTCTTCCCCTTCACTACTCCTCCCCCTATAGCAGAAATCCCTTTCACCCCCGCTCCCTGCACCAGTCTCTTTGAAAGGGGTAAATCTTCCAACCCACTGTCACTGTCACCCTCCTGTCTCTCCCTTTCCTTCTCCCTCTCCCTCTCCCTCTCCCTTTCCCTCTCCCTTGCCTTCTCTCTTTCCCTCTTCCTTCCCCTCCCCTTCTCCCACTCCCTCTCCTCTCTCTCCTGCTGCTCCCCTTCCTTCACATCTCCCCTTTCTCCTTCCCCTCTCTCCTTCCTCCCACCATCATCATCATCACGGTCACTATAACTCTCTGAAACAGCCCCCTTCGCCCTTTTCCCTATCATCCACCTCTCCTTCACCTTTCCCTCCTGCAGCATCTCACCTGCATCCTCCTCCCTTTCCCCACCTAAATCTTTCTCTCTTTTACCCCTCTCTCTTTCCCCAGCTAACGCTCCTACCATCTCAACTACTCCACCCTTCTCTCTCACTCTACCTCCCTCAACCTTATCATCAACATCACTCTCACCGCTACCTCCAGCAACACTCCCAACACCATTCCTGTCAGCTCTCCCCTCCCCTGCCCCCCACCCCACACTCCCCTTCTGCTCCTCCGCACCTCCCTTTCTTCTTCCTGCTTCTTCTTCTTCTTCTCCTCCTCCTCCTTCTCCTGCCACCCCCTTTCTTCCTCCATCCCCTTTAAGTTCGTCCCCTTTTCCTCCTCCTCCTGCTTCAACTGTTTCCTCCTTCGCCCCACCACCCACCATTCCCCCTCCTCCCGCCTTCCCACCTCCCATCAACAGCTGCAACCCCGTCAGAATTCCTCCCGTTACAATCACTCCTGCTGCAGGCACACTCACCCCCCCTGCTCCTGCCTTGAATCTATCCATTTTCCCACCACTCTCACTAACACTCTCAATCCCCTCACACACACCCCTTGTTTCTGTCGCCACTCCAATTGCCTCACCAAATTCACAGCGATCAGACTTAACACCCCTCCTATCTCGCTTCTGCTCCTCCTCTTCTTCTTCATCCCCCTTTCCTCTACTCTCTCGCTTCCCTCTATCTCTGCTTTCCCCTCCATCCCTTTCAACCTCCTTTTCACCCCTTATTGCTCCGTACCTCTCCTCCTCCCTCCTGTCTCTCTGCTCTAGGCTATCCTGAACCCTCCATAACTCCACATCTATTCTCTTTTCTTGTGCCTTCACCATCTCTTTTCCTACTTCCTGCTCCACGTCCCTTGCCGCCGGCGCCGCCAGGTGTGTTTTGAGTCGACTCAAAACACACTTTCCTACTTCCTTCTCCACGTCCCTTGCCGCCGGCGCCGCCAGGTGTGTTTTGAGTCGACTCAAAACACACTTTCCTACTTCCTGCTCCACATCCCTTGCCGCCGGCGCCGTATATTGGAGTGACTTTTGAGAATTCTCAAAAGTCACATCCCTTGCCGTCGGCGCCGCCACACTCCCTCCCTCCTCTCTTTCCCCTGAGCTAATTCGCCCCTCCATCCTCCTCTCCCCTCCCGCCTTTTCCTGCCCTTCCCCGTCTGTTCTTCTCAGATGAAAACCCGGAGGCACCGAGTCTCTAGACGTCTCAAACCCAGGAGGCCCTGGCGCCTCAAAATCAGCTTCAGCCCCTCCCAGATGCTGCTGCTGCTGCTGCTGCTGTTCCCAGTGCTCATGCTGACCCTCTTGCCCTCTCTCCTGCTCTTTCTCTTGTGCCTGCTCTTCCTCGCGCTTCTTGTACCTTCGACCCTCAGAAAAAGCTAGCCTAGCAGTGGTAGCTTCTGCTAAAGCTGCAACCCTCCTGCCCCACTCAGACCCTCGGGAAGAGGACTGCAGAAGATTCAACGCGGAGGAGAGCGGTGGAGGGGAGTGCGGGAGGATGGGAGGAGGTGAGTAAAGGTGGTGAGGAGGGGAGTGAGGGAGAGGAGGAGGAGGAGAGTGAGGAAGAGGAGGGGGACACGGCATGGGGAGGGATGATGGGAGGGGATGGAGATGGGGGAAAGTAGGCTGGGGAAAAGGAGGGACCAGTAGTGGTGGTGGTAGTGATGGTGTTACTGGTGGTGGTAGGTGTCGGGGGGATGGTGACGGTGGCGGTGTCGGCAGTTTCTTTGCTCGAATTGGCGGCAGCGAATCAAAATCCATTGTTTCAAATAGCAGCTTCGGATCTTTAGGGCCCTCATGCCCCTTCACTCCTTCATGCCCCTTCACTCCTTCATGCCCCTCCACCCCTTCCTCCGGTCCTTGTGTTTTGGCACTTGAGCCTTCCATCCTTGCCCCTTTTCCCATGCTTCTCCTGTGCTGGTTCGGTGGCTTTCGATCCTGCTCTGCCTCTCCTCCTGCCCCCCACTCTCTTTCAACCCTCGTCCTCCACTCTCCCACGTGAGGTGACTTTTGAGTCGACTCAGAAGCCACCTCAACTCCTGCCCCCCATTCTCGTTCAACCCTCGTCCTCCAGTCTCCCACATGTGCGGAGACAGGAGGAGGGTCATGAAGAGGTGGAGGAGAAGCAACAGCAGCAGCAGCAGCAGCTGCAGGGAGAATGGCAGCGGAACTGTTATTATTCCCATCACCAGCACCAACAACTGCACCAGCAGCACTAACAGCACCAGCAGCATCAGCAGAAACACCAGCAGCTGCAGCAGCAACAGCAGGATCAGCAGCACTAGAGGGAGCAGCAGCAGCAGCGGCAGGAGGGGAAGCAGGAACGGCTTGAGCTGGTGAGAGCACAGAGGCACGGTTAGAGAGAGCAGAGGTCAGGTGGGGCGACTTTTGAGTCGATTCAGAGAGCACAGAGGTGCGGTTAGAGAGAGCAGAGGTGAGGTGAGGGCCAACAGCAGCGTTGAGGAAGGAGGGGCAGTGCAGGGATTGCAGCACAAGGGTATGCAGACGTGTGCGGACGAGAGAGAGTGAGGTGGAAAGAAGGGCGTCGAGGGACGGAGGGGTGGAGGAAGGGAGTAGCTGTTGCTGCTGCTGATGTTGCTGCTGCTGGTACTGTTGCTGCTGCAGCGGCTGCTGCTGTTGCTGATGCTGCTGGTGTTGCTGCTGTGGCTTGGATGGGTGTCTCCCCAGCAGAACCCCCAGGGAGATGGGAGGAGTGTGCATGTTGCGAATATCTGACAACTGATGGGATGTGTGGGGGGAACAGGCAAGAGGGAGAGAGTGGGAAGCATGAGCTGCGTTTGAGGCGCCTCAGCAATGAGAGGATGGGAGGAGTATGCATGTTGCGAATATCTCACAACTGATGGGGTGTGGGGAGACAGGCAGGCAGGACGCAGTGGGAGATTGAACTTCAAACCACGTCAGGATGAGTAATTGAATATTGAGTGAGGGTGGGGCGTGGGGAGAAACGGAGAAGGAGAGGGGGGGAGAAAAGGTACCTCGTACAGTCACATGCATCACAACCCCATGCATGTCCTTCATGCTTTTGAGTCGACTCAAAAGGTGCCATCACACAGTCACATGCAACACAACCCCATGCATGTCATTCACCCACCACCATCCCAAACACCATTGCACACTGTACCACACATACCAAGAGGCTGGGCATGAGATGCCCACACTGCAGCCACCATCTCAACATCCACACTGCAGCCACCATCTCAACATCACAGCCATGCACGCATCACAACCCCATACAAGTCATCACCACTCCATCCCACACCCACACACCGTATCGTACTGTACCACACATACCATGAGGCTGGGCATGAGATGCCCGCACTGCAGCCACCATCGCAGCATCACAATTGAAAACGGCCCCTTGGGTGCCTTGTCTTCCATTCCATGCATATCGAATCCCACCATACCATACCACACCACACCATACATACCATGAGGCTGGGCATGAGATGCCCGCACTGCAGCCACCATCGCAGCATCACAATTGAAAACGGCCCCTTGGGTGCCTTGTCTTCCATTCCATGCATATCGAATCCCACCATACCATACCACACCACACCATACATACCATGAGGCTGGGCATGAGATGCCCGCACTGCAGCCACCATCGCAGCATCACAATTGAAAACGGCCCCTTGGGTGCCTTGTCTTCCATTCCATGCATATCGAATCCCACCATACCATACCACACCACACCATACATACCATGAGGCTGGGCATGAGATGCCCTCACTGCAGCCACCATCGCAGCATCACAATTGAAAACGGCCCCTTGGGTGCCTTGTCTTCCATTCCATGCATATCGAATCCCACCATACCATACCACACCACACCATACATACCATGAGGCTGGGCATGAGATGCCCGCACTGCAGCCACCATCGCAGCATCACAATTGAAAACGGCCCCTTGGGTGCCTTGTCTTCCATTCCATGCATATCGAATCCCACCATACCATACCACACCACACCATACATACCATGAGGCTGGGCATGAGATGCCCGCACTGCAGCCACCATCGCAGCATCACAATTGAAAACGGCCCCTTGGGTGCCTTGTCTTCCCCCAAATACGTCCAAAACAACCCACTCTCTTCCTCCTCCTTTTTCTTCAGATCCTCCCTCTGGCCTTCCTCCCCCCTTCCGTCCTCCCCTGTACCCCCGGCGATCACTGCATCTCCAACAGCGATATTTGTGCTGGTAACAGCAGCAGGAGCAGAAACAGAAGCAACGACAGCAGGATGTGCAATCAAATCGTCCCTCCCTGTTTGTCCTGCTCGTCCTGATGTTGCTCCTAATCCTGTCCCTGCCCGAGAAACAATAGACATCATCGTGTGCTGCTCTGGCTGTTGCAGCTGTTGCTGCTGCTCAAATTCCTGCTGCCGTACTGCTGGCTGTTGCTGCTGAGATGCTGGAAGCAAGGAGTCTGAGGGAAGGGACACTCCAAAGTGAAGCAGCACGGAAGCTTCCCCTTTCAGCACCCGAGCCAGGGGGATAGGCTCGGCATCCGAGCCTTCCGGGTAGGCCAGGATATGATCCGGCAGCTCCCTACAGGTGGTTCGGTCGCAGGGGTGGAGGGACGTTCAAAGATGGTGGTATAAGAAGAGGACTTTTGAGGCGCCTCAAAAGAGGATAGGGAAGAGAGCGGGAAAAAGGGAGGGGGAAAGGAAAGCTGGCCAAGCGCAATCATGTACCTCAGATGGATCAATGAGGAAATTATCTAAACTAGTCAAACGTCAACTATTGAGGTAGCTCTAGCTCAGCTCAATCGCCCTGCAAGCAGCAGATGCAATGCAAGCAGCAGATGCAATGCAACCAGCAGATGCAATGCAAGCAGCAGATGCAATGCAAGCAGCAGAATATGACTAACCAGCAGAATATGACTAACCATAACCAGATGCAACATACAATCATGTACCAGAATGATATAAGCCATTGGCCATGGTGAAATCTGAAGCTCTGATTTGCATACTCTGCTGCCAACTGGTGCTGAAAATCACTGAACATGACTGAAACCGAAACTGAAAACGCTCACACTGCTTCAAACTGCTGCTGAACGTGACTAAAACCTGATTAAACAGGATGCCATCAGATTGCAACTTGGGTCACAACAAACTCACCCTGCTGCAAACTGCTGCTGAACGTGGCTGAAGGGGAAAGGCCCACTTGTTGCTCCCAGCGCCTCATCCAAGAGGCACCACGCATCGCACTCCTCCGCACCCATCCCCACTGCATACCCCTCTCCTCCCGCCCCTGCGCTCATCGCTCCTCCCCTACCTGCTCCCGTCTCTCCACATGTCCCTCCGTGCATCTCTATTCCCATGTGTGCTCCTCCTCCCTCTGCTGCACAAGTATTTCCTCCCGACATTGTTTCTCCACGTTCACTCACAACACCTGCTGCTGCTGCCCCTTCTAGCTTCCCTGCCCCTGCCTCCGGTGGTGTGGCCTCTGCACCTGACGCCCTCTTATAAGCAGCTGCAATAAAAGCAGGAGGGCCGAACCCAGGAGGAGCATCTAGAAAGGCAGTAGTACCTTCAATCGAACTGCCTTCCCACGCCGGCTCATTCTTACTAACTGAGTTACCAGTCGCCCCTCCCTTCTCTTCTCCACTCCTCTCTGCCCCTCCTCTCTCTGTCCTTCCCCTCTCTGTCCCAGTATCCATGCCCCTATCCTGAAGACCAATTCCCACAGCACTACCACGAGCAGCACCCAGAGCCATAGCGCTATGAGGGAAAGCAGTACACGAAGAGCCCTCAAACCTCCCTCCGCCGCGCTCTCCCCACCCACGCCCTCCCCGCCCCCCTCTCCTGTCCATCCACCTGCCGCCCCCATCACGACCCCCGTCACCCCTACCCTGTCCAAGTCCCCTGCTTCTACCACCGCCACCACCACCACCACCACCACCACTAACACCACCATAGCCCCACTCCTCCATTTCCCTCATCCTCCACCTGTCCTCCCTCCCTGCATAATGGCCCCCTGAGCCCCCTCCCACCCCTGCCTCCCTATCCCCCCTCCCCCCTCCCACCCCTGCCTCCCTATCCCCCCTCCCCCCTCCCACCCCTGCCTCCCTATCCCCCCTCCCCTCTCCCCGCCCCACCCATTGCCCTTTCTGAAACACCCCCCCTCCCCCTGTCTCTCTGGGATTCCACGCCCTTCCCGGCCTCCTATCCCCCTCTTCAGGTGACTGGTACCTCTTCCGTTCCCCCTCTTGCGGTGACTGGAAAGTCCGCCTTTCTGCCTCCTGAGGTGACTGGAAACTCCTCTTGTCCCCCTCTAGGAATGAAGCAAACGGCCTCCTTTCCCCCTCGCTGCCTCTGGAGGTTCTACCTGCTGTTCTCTCTTCCCTCTCTCCCTCGTCTCGAGCTCTCCTCCTCTCCCAATCCCCACCCCCTCCCCTCTCTTCTCCTTCCAAAGAACGCCCCCTTTCCTCGTCCTCCAACGAACGTCCCCTCAATTTTCCACTATCTCGGCCAGGCATAAGCCTGCTGCCTTCCTCCCTTCCTCTCTCTCTTCCCCCACCCTCCTCATTTCTCATTTCTTTTCCTCCACCGTCCTCTCCTCCACTCTCTTTTCCCCCAACCTCCTCCCTTACCCTCTCTCCTCCCACACCCTCCTCGCTCCCTTTCTCTTTCCCTCCTTTCTCTCTCCTCCCCTCCACCCTGCTATCTCCAAGCTCCCACCGTTCCTCCTCCTCCATCCTCCACTCTCTCCGCTCTTCTCCCCTCCTCAAATCATACTGCCGCCCAGATAAGCCAGAAAGCCCTCCCAAATTCCTCTCCTGCAAAGAAAATACACCTTTAACCCCACCCGGGCTCCTCTCCTCGTTGTGTGCTCTGCTGCTTTCTCCGAATCGCGTTTGTTCTCCGAACCGCATTTGTTCTCCGAACAAATGTCTCCTTCTATCTCCCTCACCATATCTCCCTCCTCTCAAGCTCTCCCCCACTCTCTCATCAACACGCCGTCTCCCATCCCTGTCATTGGTATCACAGTCACGTCCTGTGTACCCTCCAGGTGATCTGATGAGTGATCCAATGCTTCGCAGATCTCGCTCTGCTGATTCCCCTCCCACACGCCCTTCTCTTCCCAACACTTCTCTCACACCCTCTCCTCTCCCCTTCCCGCCTTTTCTCTCTCCTCTTTCCTCTCCCGGACCCACCCCTCCTTCCTCCCCTCCTCTGCACTCGCCTCCCCTACTCTCCCCCCGTCTAAGACTGTCCCTCACAACCTGCTCCTTTCGTGTGTCTCTCTCATTTCGCCCCTGCAGGGACGACGCTATTATATCCCTAACATCAACGATCTTAATCGCCTCTCTTGGCGCATCTCTCCTCTTGTCCCTCTCTCCCTCGCGCCCCCTCCTCTCGTCTTCTCTTCTCCCCCTGTCGCCGTCCCTCCTTTCTCTCTCACTGTCCCTCCTTTCATTCTCTCCACCTTTCCTCACACCCGCCTCTCCTCTCCCACACCTCCCTCCGTCCCTCGCTCCATCCCTCCTGCTCTTATCGCCTTCTCTCCTCCCAACAAACCCCTCTTCTTTCTCCTTCTCCTTCTCCTTCTCCTTCTCCTTCACTCCACCAACCACCCTTCCTTCTCCCCCTTCCTGCGATCCCCGTCGACTCTTCAAGTCTAGATTCAATGAACCAGCAGCAGGCCCTGAGTGCTCCTTACCCCGTCCCTCTGTCCCTTCTTTCCTCTCGCTCTCTCTCTTCCTCCTAACGGCAGTTAAGTCTCTGGGCCTACGTCTATCCTCCTCCTCCTCCTCCTCGCTCCCACTGCTGCTTCTACTCCAACCGTTCTTCCTGCTGCTGCCCCTGCTGCTGCTCCTGCTCCTGCCCTTGCTCCTGCTGCTGCTGCTGCTGCTCCTTCTCCTACCTCTGCCCCTTCCCCTGCTGCTGCTATCGCTACTGCTGGAGTCTTTGATTTTCCTCCCTGCACGTCCGCCGTTCGGTTTCCCCCGGCTGTAGTATCTATCAATGCTCCTGCTCCTACCCCTGCCCTTGCTACTGCTGCCGCTACTGCTGCTTCTATTTCTGTTTCTCTTGCCGTTAACCCGTTTCTTGCTGTGACTTACGCCCCTACTGCTCCTGCTGCTGCTGCTGCTCCTGCTTCTACTCCTGCCCTTTTTTCTACTAACATTATCAACTTTATCCCTGCTCCTGCTCCTCCTCCTACTCCTACTTCTGCTGCTGCTGCCGCCACTGCTGCTGCTGCTGCTGCTGCTGCGGTCTCCCCGCCTCTCCATTCGTCGAGCTCCATAACCGCCCTTCTCAGGCCATTCACGCTCGCTCCTCCTACCCTTTTCCGGAGAAACCCTTTTTGAAACGGCTTTCCGCGAACCCTCCTCCCCCTCGCCGCTGACGTCACCAACCCTCTTCGCTGACGTCATCCTCTCATGCGTACTCTGCTCGAATCTGCTTATCCCTGGTCAACCGAGCGTCGTTGACCGATAACGATGTCAAGAATCCTAGCGTCACCCGTTATTGTCACATCAGGCGTTACTCATCACTCCCGCTGTTGTCACATCGCTTCTGCTGCAATCGCTGCTACTTTGGGTACGGTTCGAAAAAAGTCGCGGATTTATCGCTAATCGCACACGCCTCTAGCCCTCCTGCAAGCATTATTATTCCGACACATTCCTATTGTCTATCGTCAGCGTGTGCAAAGTCCTCTGTTGCCATTAATCTCGTTGTTAACCTGACGAATTTCACTGCAGTCTCTTTCTACCGCAGCTGAATTTCACGCTAGTCCTAGAACTTTGGCTTATTCGATGGGTAATATCGCGATCTTTCGCTCACTTGCCTGGTCGCATGCTATTCGTCTGGCAAACTAGCCAAACAGTCAACATGCCAGCATCTAGCACGATAAGTCTCTGGAGCATCTACTACGATAAGGTTCATAAACTGGCAAAACTAGTCGAAACGCGTTTTTCCAGCTGACTACTAACTAGTCGAGACTGTTTGAGCAGACCTAGTTGCGCGTGTTCCGTTGCTTCTTGGCGAAGGGATGGAGGGGAGAGAGGCAAGGGTTCCACTACCGAGGGCTGTGGGGTGAAGGGTGCGAATCATGTGCCAATATCGAGGGTGAACCATTCATTACTCACAGAAAACCCATTTTGCTCAGCATCACTTGCAAAATGTCTTTATATCCCTACCCAAAAACAACCAATTGGAGATTCCACTGTTTAGTACACCTGTACACAAATTGTTGCCAACTTTCTTCAGGCTTCACTGAAATGCAGAAGCAGCCTCATCAGCTACACCTCATATGCGATTCACACATTTTTATCTGCCCGCTGCGCATGAGATCGATGCTTCGGTGGCATGTAAGGTGAAGCCACACCTGGCACCCCTGGGACTGGAGCCTTTGACCCAGCAGCACCATCCCTAACCGCTCCTGCACCCACCCCACCCCGTGCAACTCCTACACCCCCCTCTCCACCTCTTACTCCTCCCACATCCCTCACACCGCTCTGCACCCCTCCGACACCCACTCCACCCCTTGCTCCTCCTACATCCGCTGCATTACTACCAGCTGCAGGTTGGGAAGAGCCTATCCCAAAAGCCTTTCCACTGTTTGAACGTCTATCAGCTACTCCACCACCAGCAGCAGTAGTGTTGGGTCCAGGTTTGGACCCTATACCCGCACCATTGACATTTGTCATGGGTCTAGTGGTTCCAGGCACGGCGGCAGAGGCAGCAGCAGAAGCACGGGCAGAGGTAGGTGCAGGGGAAGGAAAAGGGGCAAGGGCTCGTGTGTGAGGAACAGCAGCAATTGCTGCGGTGGCGGAATGGTTGGTACTGGCTGCAGATTGGGATGTGGCAGCAGCAGCAGCAGCAGCAGCAGACGGAGGAGCAGCAGTACCACCAGTCCCAGCAACAGTAGCAGGTGCAGCATTGAATGCAGGAGGAGCAGCGGACTTCGATTGAGGAGTAAAGGGTGGGACAGTGGAAGGAATAGGGCTGTTGAATGATGCAGATGCATGCACAGTTGGAGCAGGAGAACGAGCGGAGGCAGGAGGAGCAGGAACAGCACTGTTCCCCGCTGCTGATACACCAGTAGAGGCATCTGAGCTTCCAGCAGCTGCTGCTGCTGTTGCTGCTGTTGCTGGAGGATGAGAGTCCTCCCTAGCAGCAGCGCTGACGGTTAAATCCTTCCTTACAGCTCCACTCAAGGACAGGTCAGTTGGTGCACTCTGCAGGTCATTCTGCATGGGCGCATTTGGTGCCAAATCCTTCTCGTTTGCCTCTCGCACGGCAGCAGGCCCAGCAACAGCCGCAGCAGCAGGTACGGCAGCAGGCACGGCAGCAGGCACGGCAACAGCCGGAGCAGCAGGTACGGCAGCAGGAATGGCACAAGGCACGGCAGCAGGAACAGCAGTGATAGCAGGTGCAGGCGCCACTAACGGCCTTCCTTCCATCACATCCCAGCGATCGAATATCAACCTCCCCCCCCTGCCTACCCTCCCCCTCACCCTCAACTCTACACCCTCCCTCACCGCTTCTCTCCCCGCCACCACCGATACAGATGACGGTACCAGAGGTGAACGGCAGAGTGCATCACGAGGAAGAGGCCAGAGGGACACCGGAGGGGGCCGGTGGGAGAGCAGAGGCGGCTGTATGTGCAGAGCAGCGAGCTGCTCGAGGGAAAACGAGCGGGTGAACGGCATGGGTATGTCAGGAGGAGGGGCGCTACGAAGCACGCAACTCAGCCTGCCCCCTCGGGGAAACACCACCTGCCTCCGCCTCTTCTTCTTCAGGAGCGGGAGCAGATGGTCTAGAGGCGACACTGCATCGGTTACCGGCCCTGAGGTTACAGTCGCAGCGTCTGGTAACCACCCAGCCCAGCCTCCTGCTGCTCCTGGTAACGTCCCCCCTGCTGCAGCTGCGGCTGATCCTGCTGCTGCGATCCCTGCTGCTCCGACGGAGCCTCGGCGGCGAGTGACCGAGAGGATATTGTCAAAGTGATTCGCGGGAGGGAGGCCGCCTAGAGTGGCAAAGGTAGGGGCGCCGGTGCTGGTGGTGCTGGTGGCGGTGATGGTAGTGCCAGCAGGAGGTGGTAGGAGCTGGTATTGCTGCTGCTGCTGCTGCTGCTGGTGCTGGTCTTCTGAGGTGGCTCCAGGGAAAGGCTTGGGGATCCAGGAGGAGAGGTCTGGGATGATCCCAAGGGCCTCTGCTTGTTGCACCGTGATTTCCTGGAGAAAATGACGACAATGGAACGTAAACACATACAGAGAACAATGTGATGCTCATGACACATTGTGATGCTCTTGCAGTTTGATTCGAACCCTTAGCCCTGCTAACGGCACAAAGAAAAAGGACAGTAGAATGTCATCTGCTAGCTGGTGATCCTAACCCGTTGGGATGGCGAGAGAAACAGTAACAGTTATGCATGCATCACGCATCCATGATGCATCCATGACGTGTCATGCATGGATGGACAGATAGATGTGCAGATGAGAGGACAGGACGGATTCGTGCACCCAAACCCATAAAGCCATGGCACTCAAATCTTGCGCAAGTTTGGGTGCTGAGGGGTGGGGGTTGTTGACTTGTCTGATTTCGCCGCAACACTTGTCTTTTCGCTGAGTCAGCAAGCTTCAGGGGGGAGCGTGCGTTTGGGGACTTGGAGGCCCAAATTGCAGAGTAGTGAAACCTGATGTCTTTTGAGACGTCTCAAAAATGGAGTCCCAAATTGCAGAGTAGTGAAACCTGATGTTTTTTGAGACGTCTCAAAAATGGAGTCCCAAATTGCAGAGTAGTGAAACCTGATGTTTTTTGAGACGTCTCAAAAATGGAGTCCCAAATTGCAGAGTAGTGAAACCTGATGTTTTTTGAGACGTCTCAAAAATGGAGTCCCAAATTGCAGAGTAGTGAAACCTGATGTTTTTTGAGACGTCTCAAAAATGGAGTCCCAAATTGCAGAGTAGTGAAACCTGATGTTTTTTGAGACGTCTCAAAAATGGAGTCCCAAATTGCAGAGTAGTGAAACCTGATGTTTTGGCAGTGAGTGTTGCTTCGACCAAATCAGATTGCGTCGCAACTACCGTAACCAGATTTTCGCAAAAATACAGCACAAAAAACGAGAAGTGTGCAAGATTACTAATCTTGCCCTGCGCGGCCCGCAATTTGGGCCTTGAGCTTTAAGAATTCTCAAAAGCCAGCTCGTATCAATTTGGGCCTTGAGCTTTAAGTAGTGCCCTCTCAGACTCCCCATGCCCGTATGCATGCACCTAAACGCTGCTCTCTCTGACTCCCATACGCACCTGCTTTGAGAGCTTTAGGAAGTGCTGATTCCTTGCTTGAGAGTCAATTCACAAAGGATTACTGCTTACAACGAGCACCGCTACACTACAGATACACACACACACTCGACTTACCCGATCCGAGAGCGCTGCCTGCTGCAACGCCACTTCGCAATTGATTAGCTCACGCTTCCTCTCCTCCCTCTGCACGCAAGCGTCAAGGCGTCAAGGCGTCAATGGAACCAACGAAGACGAGAAACATGGATGCATCCAGAGACCAAGGCATGAGACGCAGAGGAACCACGTGAAGCGAGGTTGTTTTTGAGACGTCTCAAAAACAACCTCGCTTCACGTCGCAAGCGTCAAGGCGTCAATGGAACCAACGAAAAAGAGAAACATGGATGCCACCAGAGACCAAGGCATGAGACGCAGAGTCGATTTTTGAGACGCAGACTCAAAAATCGACTCACTACACGCGGAAACATGGATGCCACCAGAGAGCAAGGCATGAGACGCAGAGGAAGAATGGGTGAGGTAGAATGGGTAGACAGTGGTGAGAAACTAGCAGCTCTGAAGGAGAGAGCAGTGAACCAGAAATATTGGGAGGCAGGGCAGGGTGAGACAGCACAGCCAGAGCGAATCTGCACTCACTCTCTCAACAGCCTGTGCCAGTTGCAAGGCATCTTCAATGTTCTTCTGGACCTGCTACAAAAGCGGATGAATGAAAAACGGAATGCCAAAACGAGACTCTAAGGCACGGAAGGAAATCAAAGGCTCAACATTGAAGGCGCAGCAGAGACGTTTCTAGGGCACAAAAAGCCCATAAATGGGCAACACGTCATTCGAACAGTCAGAGCGGGTATGGTAGGGCATCACATTGACAGGGAAGAAAGACGCACCCGCACGAGCTTTTCATATGATGCCATGTCATTCTCCCTCCGCTGCATCTGCACGCCCGGCACAAGGGGGATGAGTGAGATTGAAAGCACGCTCAACACGGCAATGTCAATTTGTACGCGTCTCAAGAGTCAGAACACGTTAAGGGGGTTGCTGTCTGGCATGTGATGCGTGTCTGGCATGTGATGCGTGTCTGGCATGTGATGCGTGTCTGGCATGTGATGCGTGTCTGGCATGTGATGCGTGTCTGGCATGTGATGCGTGTCTGGCATGTGATGCCTGTCTGGCATGTGATGCGTGTCTGGCATGTGATGCCTGTCTGGCATGTGATGCGTGTCTGGCATGTGATGCGTGTCTGGCATGTGATGCGTGTTGAGTAGTGTGAGCCCAACACACCCTAGCTCAAAATTACCCGCCGTGTGTTGGGGCAGTGGGCCCTCTCTCGCGGTCCGAAAACGTTGAAAGGGTTGGTGTCTGTGATGGCAGGCGACGGCTGCATTCGCCGCAGAATGGGTCCGTGAAAGGGCTGGTGTCCGTGGTGCATGCTTGCTAAATCTACCTCAACTCTCACATACCCGCCGTGTGTTGGGCCGGTGGGCTCTCTCTCTCGGTCGGAAAACGTTGAAGGGGTTCGTGTCGGTGATGGCAGGCGAGGGCTGCAGGCGCCGCAAAATGGGTTTCCCCCATCGCTCCCTCTTGGACCGCCAGTAGTCGTACGCTGCAGCGATGATGGCCTGCCTTGGTACTTGTGCTCTCAACGCCTGCAAGCAGGAAAGACGAACGGAAGGGAGACACAGATGTTCAGTACTGAGTCGCCCAATGGGTTTGCCCCCAGCGCTCCCTTGGACCGCCAGTAGTCGTACACTGCAGCGATGATGGCGCATGCCTTGGCACCTGGGCTCTCAGAGCCTGCTCAAGAAACAAGTGCGAGATCTATTACGTGCAAACTCCGAAAACCAGTGTAAAACGGGCTTGCCAAAAACGAGTACAGCAGAAACGGGAACTCACGTCGACAGCTTGTTGCTGCTGCAGGACAGGCACTCGCACTCCCCCAGATGACACCTGTTTTGTGGTGCCGTGCCTCAAAACTCTTTAGCAGAACGGAACTCACATCGACAGCTTGTTGCTGCTGCAGCAGGACCGGCACTCGCACCCCCCCAGATGACACCTGCCCAGCAGCACCCGTCTGGTCCACTGCGCCTGCCAGCATGGCCGTTCCTGCCTTGGCCCTCGCCCGCGCATCCAGGAGCTCCATCTGGTAGATCATCCACTCCAGCCTGATGACGTGGCATAGGATGATGACGTGGCATGCGTCAGAAATCTGTGGCAAGATCGCATTGTACCACTCTACACCGCACTGTACCTGTCTGCAGCGAGTAGCAGTCTGTTCTGGTTGAGCACTTCCAGCCAGTCCTCATCCTCGTCGTCCAAATCATAATTCTGTCACACTGCACCGTACTTCACCGTACTGTACCACATGTACTCACACAGCACCATACTGCACCGCACTGTACCTGTCTGCAGCGAGCAGCAGCCTGTTCTGGTTGAGCACTTCCAGCCAGTCCTCGTCCTCGTCATCCAAATCATACTCCACGTACACCCCGTCGTCCTGCCGCACTGCGCGGCGGATATCACGGAGGAGATAAGAACATCACAACATCACGGAAGCACAACAGCACAGAATGGCTATCACACCGCGACAGCACGACAACAGGACAGGCCGAGACAAAGACAGACCAGTTAACCGTCGGATTTGCAAAGCGAGGATGTCGCACCATGCTTGCTGCGAATGTACGACGACGGTTGGCGAAAGTTCGCCGGGTAGAGCTTATCGTACGCTTCGACCACGCCGCAGTGAGGTGTCGGGATCTCCACGGACGGTCCCTTCTTTGACGGTGCGGGCAGGATCTGCCACGTAGGCAGGACATGACATGAACACAAGATGTCGACAGAAAGTGCACGTCAGATCTGTTAGATAAAATTCGGAGAATATTCGCTGACTGATGCTCGTCGGTGTGTGCATAGCGACGCCCTGCAGAATCCATTCATCGATGCAGGGAATGACGGAAGGGATGTCTTTTAGGGTTTCCAGAGAAGCCAACAGTCTGGACCTGCTCGTTTTCGGCGTCGAGAGCGATGTGGCCATGATGGACGGTCCTCGATACGCCCTCGTCCTCCGCGTTCAGCTCGTCTGTCGATCGGACGATCGCGAGCTTCTTATTGATGTCCACTGGCCGCGGCCTGAAGGACGGGCGATTCATAGCGAGTACAGGAAACCCTAATTGGTGGTACTTAGATTCAGCCTGGCTTAGTCGGCGAATCCATGAAATGTTGACATTTCGGAAATTTGGAATGTACTTATGCTGTACACTATTCTTTGAAAAGGGCGCGATAAAAAAATCCTTTTATTGTTTCAGTGAAGGACCAGGGTTGAGCTAGTAGCGCGTATAGCATACATGAAGTACTGTTTACATTCTCCTCTCACATACAGAAGCAGTTGATAGGTTACAGATGGATGTCGCATTCTTTCTTGAATTCTCGTCTGCCAATGGCGGGCCACGAAATCGGCAATGAACAGCTCGTTCAGTCAATTTCTGCTACTACGGTTACCAAACGAGGGAAATGCCAACACTCGATGGCCGCTGATCTTTTGTTGAGACTGTGCTGTTTTCAGAGCTGTTTACGGCCTGGTTTCTGTTTTTCAGACATTTTGGGTTGAAGCTAGATGCTGCAGGTGTATGATTTGTGTTCGAATACTAAATCCCCGAGTTTGTAGGTCTGATCTGATTTAGCGCCTCGGGCCATTCACTTAACGCCTTACGACGTCTCAACCGCGGGTCGTGTCATACGCTTATTCTGAGAATCCGCTTGCCCGCCAGCATCCACGCCCTCCTTTTCGTCTTGTTTCCGCGACTCGCGATGTTTAAAAAGTACGCCCCCGTCTTGTCTTCTCATTTTGCACAGTGCATCGCGCGGTTTCTGCCTCCCTTTCTTCAACTCATACGATTACTGAGTTGAGTCATTCCGTCGCCTGCCTGTCAATTCAGTCCCGGCTGATAACCGTATCTGCTTGTCTCCTCCACCTCCTTCCTCCCCTCCCCACCCCCCCCCCCCCTCTCCTTTTCTTCCTTTCCCTTCCCCCCGTCCTCCCTCTCTTTCCCCTCCTTGTGTTCCTTCACGCAGATTCTCCAACGATGAGGTAGCAGGGCAGAGTCAGCTCAAGGCGTGTTCAACGCTGCTTGACCCCCGTCCCTCCTCCCCTTTTGCCCTTCCCCCTCTCGTCACACAGATTCTCCAACGATGAGGTAGCAGGGCAGAATCAGCTCAAAGCATCTGTTCAGCGCAAAATTCGGCAATCCATAGCCGAGGAGGTGAGCATAGAAGCAGGGACTTGGCTATGGAGGCTCCGGGGTTGCAAGCACTCTCCCTGTGTCCTTCTCTCATCTGACGCTCATTTGCGAGGGGGGCGAAAGTACCCAACCCGACCCGAAACTAGACCCACTCGGTCTTCTGACATAATGCTCAGCGCGCAGCAGACTAACCCAGGCACTCCCTGTCCCTGCTCTTCTCTCATCTGACGCTCATTTGCGAGGTGCGCAAAAGTTCCCGACCCGAAACGGCTTTTGAGTCGACTCATAAGGCACTCCTGTGCCCTGCTCTTCTCTCCTCTGAAAGTACTCGACCCGAAACCAGACCCAACCCCTTTTGCCTTAGAAGGGACTTTGACAGGTCTCAACAGCACACTCCCCATGCGCCCCTCTTGCGCCTCCCCATGTGATTCTTTCCCACTTTTCCCTCTCAATCCGCCCTTTCATCCCTCCCCCTTTTCAGTACCCGAGTCTGGACTCAGTCTTGGAGGACCTTTTGTCCAAAAAGGGCCAGCGAAGCGCCTCTGAAGTACACTCCCCATGCTCCCCTCGCGCCCTCCCATCCGTCTTCCCCCCTCGCAGTACCCATCTCTGGACTCAGTATTGGAGGACCTCTTACCAAAAAAGGGCCGTTGAGGCGCCTCAGCGGGTCTCAACAGCACACTCCCCATGCGCTGCGCTGCGCCCCTCTCGCACCTCCCCATGTGATTCTCTCCCACTTTGTCCTCTCAATCCGCCCCTTTCCATCCCTCCCCCCTCGCAGTACCCTTCTCTGGACTCAGTCTTGGAAGACCTCCTACCAAAAAAGTCTCCCATTGTGATTGCCAAATGGTGTGTGAAACCTCGCCTTTTTTTGGAATGGGAAGGGAAGGGGGGGGTGGGGGAGAGCGCTTTAATAAACAGAATATTGTTAGTGACTTTATCAAGCAGCTGATTGTGTGTGTTTTTTTTTATTATTATTTAAATTTTATTTTCCCTACATTAGGTCGTTGACCGAATTCTGTACTCCAGCTTATAATGTCTGTTTACCGTACGAACACCCCATGTGGGTCATCATCCCTTGTATATGCAGCCCCAACCACGTGAGCATCGTGGTGATGAATGGCGTTCCGCTCTTGTTCATCATGAGGGACGACACCCTTAATGCTCACCCACCCTGTCCCCACCCTCCCTCCCTTGTGCGCTGTGCATTACCCCCCTGTCACCAATTCCCGTATCTGCAGCCCCAACCACGTGAGCATAGTGGTGATCAATACTGTTCCGCTTTTCTTCAATGCGAGGACGGCCCCCTACATGCTCACCCCAACTGTTTCGCCCTCGCCCACCCAACCCCCGCCCTCCCCCTCCATTTGTACCTGCAGCCCCAACCACGTGAGTATCGTGGTCATGAATAATGTTCCCCTCTTCTTCAATGTGAGGGACGGTCCCTTCATGCCCACGCTTCGCCTGCTGCATCAATGTAAGTCGCCTCGCCACTTGTGTTATGCATTCGCACCACTTCACACCACACCCCATAACGACGGTTCTAGCTGACTTATTTACTGACGGCGAAATGTTTTCGTCTCTTGTCGGCATGTCTTCTTTATTCCTTCCTTTCCTTTCCTTTCCGTTATCCCTTCCCATTCTTTCTCCATTTCTTTCCACCCCACCCATTCGCAACCCCTCCGCTTTCCCCACCTCCATTCAAAACCCCCCCATCCAGACCCGGACATGATGTGCAAGTGCAGGTGGATAGGGGTGCGATCAAGCCAGCGAACCCCCATCTTCCCCTTTTCGCCAACACCCCTCCCTTGCTCCCCCCATTTCCCCTTCCCCCAGACCCGGATATGATGCGAAAGATGCAGGTGGATAGGGGCGCGATCAAGTTTGTGATGTCAGGAGCTAACATCATGTGCCCGGGACTCACCTCCCCTGGTGGGAAGATGGACGACGGCATTCCTACTGACTCCCCCGTGGTGAGTGAGTGAGTGAGAGAGAATGCAACTGTGTAACGCTGAAGGGGCGCGATCAAGTTTGTGATGTCGGGGGCAAACATCATGTGTCTGGGACTCACCTCCCCTGGGGGGGAAGATGGACGATGGCATTCCTGTAGACTCCCCTGTGGTGAGTGATAGCTGAAATACAGCCCTTAAACACTCCATGAAAGCATGAGTTTGTGATGTCAGTAGGAGCCTAGCCTATATCTTGTGTCCTGGGCTCACGTCCCTGGGAGGGAAGATGGATGGTGGCTGAGCCAGAATCAAACCCCTGAATATGGAATCATTGGTTATGTGGTGCTGTGCTGCTGCATGAACTCCTCCACTCTACGACCCCCCACCCCATGTGGTGTTGTTGCTTCCCTGCCCTGCCAGGCCATATTCGCTGAGGGCAAGGAGAACGCTCTCGCGATTGGATACACCAAGATGTCGTCAGATGACATGTGAGGCATGGCATGGCATGTGATGGCATGGCATGGGATGGCATGGCATGGGATGGCATGGGATGTGAGGCATGGCATGTGATGGCATGGCATGTGCTGGCATGGCATGTGATGGCATGGCATGTGATGGCATGGCATGTGATGCCCTGACATATGATAGTCTCACATGCAAGAGCATGCTCATATGTACAAGACCAGTCTGTGGTGAGACGATTTAGGCCGCCTCATGACCCCTCATGACCCCTCATGACCCCTCATGACCCCATGAGCCTCATGCCTTAGGCCGCCTCATGACCCCTCTCTGGTATTCCTCTGCAAGGTCTTTTTCTCCTTTATTCAATTGCTCCCCTACATCTGCATCAAGGGCGTAGGCATCAACCACTCACCTCATCCCATGTGCTCTCCATTCATCCCCCTCTCCAATGCCTCTTCTCCAGTCGCAAGATCAACAAGGGCATAGGCGTCGACTTGATGCACTACCTCAACGACGGGCTCTGGAAGGTATGGTAAGGGTGGTTGGACTGGGGGAGTATGAGCCGTGGAATATATTGAGGTAGCACTTAACAAGCGCGCAACGTCAACATGGGCATAGGCATCTTCTTCTTCAAGCACTACGTCAATGTTGGGCTCTGGAAGGTGCAGTATGTGGAAGGTCTACGTCAACGGTGGTTTGCCTGGGTGGATATGGATTCTGGAAGGTTCCTGTAATGTTGTGAAAAAACTTTTGCGGAAGCTGCAAGATCGACAAGGGCATGGGGCGTTGTCTTGATGCACTGCCTGAACACGGGCTCGGGAAGGTACTTGACGCTGATAATCGGTACGGTGATGATCCTGTCGTTGTTGGTGTTACCGTATTACCCCGGATATACCACCCTAGGGTGCTATGATAACTACACAAAAAAAGGGGGGGGGGGTCTTTTCATTGGAAAAGGCTACATTACACCCAGGTCGTTACATAATGTATTGTTTTTTTATAGCACAAAAGGTTGAGAACAAAATATACATGTTTGACGCGGTGGTAGATTGTTGGTTGGGTGCGCAAAACCGAGGACTGAGCGATAACGTTAGTCTCGTGGGTTAGCTGCCACATTGCAAGCTCCAACAAGGCCCACTGTCATGCCCTGATTGGTTGAAAACACACCCCCTCGTCGCTCGACGAGGATTCATGCAGTCACAAAGGCGGAGCGCCCGCAACAGCCTCAGCTGCCTCGCTGGGGCGGTCACGTCCTTGTACTGAGGAGGAGTTGATCCTTCTTTCTGTGCAGCGGCTCCATTCCACGAACTCGAGCAATGCTCGGCAGAGTGTGCTAACACCACCTGCCTCCTCGATCCCTTTCCTAGCATAAATTCAGGGTTTCTATGGCCAGTGCTATTTAGGCAAAAACTGCAATATTACCCGTACATAACACCCCCCCCCCCCCCCCCCCCCCCCCCCCCGGGTGCTATACCGGATCGCCCCAAAAGGGGGGTATAGTAGAAACGAGGCCCGCTACAGCACCCCCCCCGCACAAGCCACCCGGGGGGTGCTCTATTTCGGGGGGTGGTATGTCCGGGGGAATACGGAATGTCGAGAAGATAAAATTGGTCAGCCTAATATGGTTTTGCTTCGTGTACTGTTGTGCCTGTGCAGATGAAAACCATTGACTGAGCCGTTTAGCCACCCTGGCACTTAGGATTGTCAAGCACGGGTGTTCTGTTGCAAGCACTGGTTGGGTGCTGAAACTGTGTAAAAATACTCATTACCATAGTTACATTAGTTGCATTGCCAAGGATCAGAATAGGTGCTGTTTTAGAAACTAATCACCTAAAGACCTTGTTGAACAATTGCTGGGAATGCAACGGTGACCCAAATCACAGAATGAGTGTTCATGATAGAGAAATATCTCTATACCTGTTTACTGATACTGATATAGTTTAGGTAAAGAGCAGCGGTGTACTCGGGGACAATCTCAGATTCCCTCGTCACGACCCCTCTACAACCCTCTCAAACCAACCAAATCGCTTCTCGCCCTCTGGACTTCAAAATTTTCAGTTTTCGCGATGCAGCGGCTGCACAACATCACATACTACACCAGTCATGGCTGCACGCCAAACCCAGCTTGACTGCCTTCTGCTCCTCCCATTCGTCTTTGATGTCAAATTCTCCTACCCACACCTTCCTAGAATCAGAACATCGGAGCTATGGCTTCGCTTCTCGCCCCACCTGCCGTCACACTCTCTGGTCTTCGTCTCACCACGGCGGCGAAATGCGCAACTCGGACCCCGCGCCTCGGAACGACGGATCAATGTCGTCGCACGACGATGCGACGCCGCCACTACTCTTACGCCTCCATGGCCGGCGATAGTAGGCTCACGCAGCCGCGGGGAAGTTCCTCCAATCCGCAAGCAGCCAGAAACGCGTCGCACACGGCGCAAAACGCGGCGCCAAATCCGACCGCCGCGGCGGAGCTTCCGCTGCCCTCATTCCACGTGGACGTGGCGATTGCTGGCGGCGGACTCGCGGGGCTCGCGCTCGCCGCCGGCCTGCAGGCGCGCGGCATCGAGGCGGCCGTTTTCGAGGCAGCGCCCACCGCGCGACGATCGAACAACAGTACCGGCACGATTCTCGGCGTTTATCCCAACGGCTTCAAGGCGCTCGAAGGATTAAAGCCCGGGCTCGGCGACGCGGTGATTGCCTGCGGCTCAACGGTCACAAAAGTAAAGTCTTTTATCCGAGAAATATCGGCGGATAAAATAGATACTGAATCGGCCAGCGCTACCAGCGGCGGTAATAGTAGCGGATCCGCCACTAACGATGCTGCTACTATACTAACCAGTGAAAATCGCGACGGCTGGGTTGTGAGGGAAGTGGTGCGAGACCAGACAATTGTGGGGTGGGCGCGAGCCCAAGAGGTACTCGCCTCGTCTTTAACGCGACCCGAGAGTATTATACATGGGCATCGCGTCATGGCGTATCACCCCGTCGTCGCGGGAATGCCTGTTGCGAACAGGAATGGTGGATCTTAAAGCAGCAATGATGGCGCCGACGAGGGCGATGTGGAAGGGGTTGATGTGGTGCTCGAGATCGTGGGTTCGAATCCCAAAACGGAAGAACATGAAATTGAGGACGAGACAGGTGCGGTGCAGCAGGAGCCTCAGCTGGTGGTGGTTCGTGCGAAGGTTCTGGTCGCAGCGGATGGCGTGCGATCAGCCGTGCGAAATCAGATGATCGGCGACTCGCCACGGTACCTGGAGCAGATTGGTTGGAACGCGCTTGTGCCAAACCCGCCAAACGCGAGAGTGTACCCACAAGAAGATCAGGGGTTACTTTATTTTTTGGATGAGGTTATGGGTTACGAGATATATTTGATTGATGTCGGCCACGGGAAGACGTTTTGGCAGGTAACGCTCTCGTTTAGCATACATTTCATTTCCTTTGCACTCTCTGCTTTCATGTCTTTCTTCCGGACCAATTCAACTCAGCCCAACCCATCCATGCCACACCGTTCTGCTAGCACGTTCTTGGTATATCCACTTTTGTTCGCACATGCTCGCACGATTCATGTTGGCATTTCCATCCTGCATTCTCTCAACACGAACCAACCACATCGCTTCAGCTACCACACCTTCCAAAATCTTTGCTATCCGAACCACAGCTCAAGTCCGAGCTCCAGCTAACACCCTTCGGTGGTTTCGGCAAGCCAGGTGTCAAAGACCGCTTGATGTGCCACATCAACAAGAACGTTGCAGACCCTTCAGGGCATGACACTTGGCATACCGTTCTCCATGCGGTTACCACCACCGACCCCAGTAACATCTACGAGCGTTGGATGATGGACCGGCCTCCTCCAAAAGATTCCTGGAGCGACTCTAAATGTGGTAACAGGGTTGTTCTTATGGGGGATGCCGCACATGCTATGCACCCCGGCCCAGGGCAAGGAGCTCAGGTTGCCTTTGAGGATGCTCACCAGCTATGCCTATGCCTTGCTGAAATCAAGGATATGCTCGCCGAGCCTGCTGCCATGGCTGCTGCGGTTCGAGAGTATGAGGCTTGGCGGATCGACAGGTGCGTGAAAATCCATGCGTATGCCACTGCAGCGCATGGGTTCGGAGAGGAGGGGAAACTTGTGAACGCCCTTCCTCTTCTCGAGAAAAGGAAGATGTATTTTGAGTTACAGAAGTGGGTCCAAGCGTACCCAGACAAGATCAAAGGTGACCCTGAATCCACCTACTTCAAATGATCCTTCAACTGCTGACCCGTTCTGAGACACAAGATAATCGTGTTACTTTGATGGGCTCGGGAAGGATCATGGTGATTCAGTTGGTGCTAGAGCTGTTAGGAAAACTGGCTAGCTACAGTTGTGGCCAACGATCACATTGTTACAGTGATCTCAGAAGCTACGGTACTTGAAGTATCTAAGTACCTAAGCAACAACTCAGATTTTTACCGTAAATGGCAGATAACACAGACAGCACCACCACCTTGCATCTAACTCTTGTGCACCAGATTCGGCTATTTTGCACATGATTGTGACACAAAAGCTGAACTGTGACCCACATAAATTTATCTGTGACAAGACACCACATGACATGGCACCAGTGACATTCTTTCTTGGACACACAGAAAAACCTTATACTGTGACCAATGCTGATATTCCAGCAGCCAAACCGCCCAGACCCAGAGATAGGCACTCAGCCAGATAATAAAAACATCCACCCAGGGACTTTCAAGCACCAAAAAAAAATAATCCAGAGCCTACATGATTCCAGTGGACTCAAGGTTGCATTGCGCGTACAGCAGTGATAAGGAAGGGGGACCAGAGTTGAAGTGGAACTGGCAATTAGGGCCTCTGAAACTGGAGCATACATTATCAGTGGGCTAATACCGTATATATCACCGATTTCGCCGACAGAAGTATGCATGACGCTGTCGCTAAGGAAAAGGAGCCATAACCATGGTTTACCCTATCTACTCGAGCATTTGCCCGCAGAGCCAATCTAGTGAGCACGATGCTAGGAAAATTGTTACAAATACAGTTCTGCTCAGCTTCTGCCTGGAGCCTCAAATTCGGTTCACCTGATCCGTCCGGTTACCGCTTGACCAATGCGAGCTTCGCTTGCCTCTTCGGAACCTCATAACAATCTCGGAACCTCGTAACAATTTCGAGAACCTCGTCAGTCACCGTCACCTGACCAGATTTCGTTCACCTGACGAAAAGGGGCACACGAGACGATAACAGCCAATCGTTGAGGGTGAGGGCACAAACTTTTGCAACTGTCATCTGAACCGTCGATTTGTGGGAGGGGCCTTCGATGTTCCCTGTCAGCATCTCCCGACCTCGAGCGTGTGATGCACCTCGTTTGGTTCCCGTAAGCCTCATCGGAATCTGGTCGTCAGAACGGTTTTGCCAGTCTCGTCGAAGGGGGTCGTCGGAGCCGAGAATGACGAGGCGGGCGACTGACGCGCGTGCAGGCCCGCCAGCCTGGCCCAGGGCTGGGCCGAGCGCACGACCCCCGCCCCGCAGCCCCGCTCCGAAAGTGAACAGAGGCCCACGTTACCGGGTGGGGTCGGCGAACTGGCGACACCTCGCGCGTGGGAAAATTACCCTCGCGCGAAGGCAGCCCGCACGTGCCACCTGCCCGCGAGGTCCTAGTAACCCATCGCGGCCTGCCTGGACGGGCAGGCGAGGGCTGGGCGGAAACTCGGGGCCCCCTCGGGACGCTCGACAATTTTGCGACCCGTTGCGGTGACGCCACGTGTCCGCTCGTGGTTTCGCATCGGGCGCATGCGATATTTCGATGCGAGCGAAAAAGAAAATCCCGCAACGCGGAGAACGAGGTTCGTTACCCGCTATGAAGTCGACACGTGTCGTGCAAATAGACGCTCCTCGCGCATGCGAAATTGAGTCCCCTCGCCAACCTGGGCCAATGGATGCGAGGTCGACGCCCCGCCGAAGCGGAGTCGGACCACCTGTCCCACTTGCGCATGCGCCCTCAGAGCCCTGCCGAGCCAGGCCCCACACCCTTGGGCGACGCTGAACGGGGATGCGGTGGGCCACCGTCTCCTTTTCTTTGTGGATGGTGGCCTCGCTCCCCATTTTCTACATCTCGTTTCGCTCCTCCTTTTCTCCTTTTTTCCTCCTTTCGTAGCTCTGTGCGGCTATCGTGATATCGCTTCCCCTTAGTCGATATGGACCCTAGCCCCGACGCCGACTTCGGCTGACTTCCCTCTTCGTCACCCAATGGGTCGTGGTCTCAGCTTCACTCTAGAGTGGGAAGACTTCTTAGTTCTTCGCAACCACAAGATAGAGTTCAACGACGGATGTTTGGGTTTCGGCATCAGGTAGGACTCGAGTAGTCGGCTGTCACAGGATCGAATTCTCAATCGAAACTTGTCACTAAAACTGAATACAAGGCATTTTTATACTCGGAAAATACAAGGATAAACGAGATAAAACGAACCTTCGGGAACACGCCCTTCCCGATACTACAATCACAAGTGCGCACAAGCACGCAAGGCTATTGGCACTTGGGATAACGCCCAGATTACACCGTATACACTACTGTCGGCGTTGTCGGTGCCGTGTAATAGGTATGTCGGTGGAAAAAGTAGTAAATAAGAGAAATAAATAGGATGCTCTAGAAAATAGAATAGTAGGCCGATTGAGA